AAGAACACAAAAAAATATAAACACTGTTTCAAATAGCGTGGATTGAGAAGCAAAAAAACGCGTTCTGTCACGCACACGTTGAAACAATATTTTTATATGGTACTGTGAATTGAAGAAACGCATCGTAAATAATAAAAGGTGTGTTTGTAGGTGCTACAAATAAATATTAGATATGTATAAATACGTTAAAATAAAAAGCAATGGATTTAAACGCATAAAAAACAGCGTTTTTTTTTGTAAAAGTTGAGAATGAAATGCTTTTTTTGTACAAAATTGTTTTTTATGAGTGCTTTTCATCTAATACCGTTGTAAGTTGTGTATAGAGTCCCATTCTATCAATCACACTGTGTTCATAACTATGTACACTCCGATTCCCAATAATTAAGTATGATGTTGTAATGAAATTTGTTTCGTCAATTTTGTAAGAAAATTTGATTAACTTTTTCTTTTGTGTTTTGAGAAACGACTTTATGCTAGAACCTCAGCAGCTGTGCCGTATTGTGAAAGGTCTCGGGGGTGTGTAATATTCAAAAATGTATAGGATATCCTATTCAAAGTTTCCTAAGATTATATATGGTTCCAAACTGATCTCTTTAGTTGTCCTAGCGAAATGAAGAATATTGACTGAAATGAACCGAAAAAAAGAGCGTGGCGAAGATAATCGAAATGTGCTATTTGAATGCATTTAAAGCACTAATATTTTGCCAATCTTACCCTTTGTTTCAGAATATTCTTCGAATATAGTAGAGAACGTACTAAAGAAATATTCCGAGAGTCCCTTCAATTATTTATTATATTTTACTTGGAAAAAACCTATTTGGAGCAATATCGAGGAAAGAAAAATTTTGTTCTTTCTAACCCTACAGTTAAATCAATGCACTGCATATCGCTACTTGTGTACGTCATAATAATAGGCCTGAGAGAGTCACTTGCTGCAGTCAGTATGCTTTTTGTCAACTTCCGACATCCAATGGCGCAGTGTGTCAGAACAGGAATGAAGTGCTTATTCTGCGTGTTTTCGTTTGAAATTACACAAATCATTACGTGATGATTGACGTTTTGTCAGTTTACTATAATATTCTCATATTACCGACTCTATCCTCCACGTAAAAATAGTTCATATTAATGAAAGAGGAAACAAGATTGTTCAGAAGAATATTGACAAACAACGTTTCATCCAAGTTTCTTCTTTCATTGAGAGTCTCCTTAAGATTTGCCCACTTTTAATAATCTCTTCGCAATGTCTTTTGTTAGTAGATCAAGATATACAAAAGTTATTGTATCCATAAAAGTATGTGTGAATTGTTTGAAAGTGAAGATACTATGGCATGTTTGAGCGTTGCTTTTCAAGTAAGTTCTGCAATTCTGTTAAATATTCATTATTAGTCATGGCATGTTTTGCATACTATTTATTGAAAGTATGATACAACGATGAATGTGTAAAATTTGCCCGTGCTATGAAGCATAAAAAAGAAGTATGTTTGTCCTCTTAGAAAAATATCCATGTGGTTCGATGAACATATATTAAAACGGTTTATTCTAATCTTGTATTTACGCATATCGATCAGCAGTTGAATGAAAATAGTGCCTGCAGCTAGAAATAAAGAAAGTGCATGTATACTTCTTTTCTAGGAGAGTGTTTACCAACATCATTATAAAACATATGATATACGCTGACTCATTTATTATTTTCTATTCAATGTTCATTTAAAAGTATCTCTGTCTCGTTCGCCGTTAGATACAAGAACGAGTTTTCAGTGTCTGAAGTTACTAATTTGATTAACTTAATTGTAAAGCATCGAGAATTATATTGCCTTTTCCTTTCATTCAAATCCAAATACTGATGTCATTCAGATAATGAACAGATAAATAATACCAGCGTTGACAATCGTCTATAGTTATTACATATAAAACTTTGTTCATCTATACACGTCTTCATTTCGTAGATTAAAACCCAACACCAAAATAGACCAAGAGAGAGAAAAAAGCCTTCAATCAGCTGATAGACTAGTTGAAAAAACATTTCTTTCTTGCATGATATGGATTTGAATATACATGTGAACCTTCATTCTTAATTAAAATCAAAAATAGTCAAAAAATCAAACAACAAAAAAGATAACATTGACACTTAATTTAAGTGTGCAATACAGACTATCAATAATCTTTTCATCAAAAAAAACCCACAAAATACGATGTCTAAAATATGTACATATTATGTCAAAATACTCCAAGGGAATAGGATAGAAATAATCACACAAACATATATACCCGCCATATTTTGACCTTGTAATTTATGTCTTCGGATACCTTTTACTTGAATTTACATAATTTATTGCAGGACAAATTTTTGAATATTCGAATAAATATTATTCACAATGAATGGCGCGTAGAAAATATCTTCATTTGTTACTATAGACTTAATTTCATTAGTTTTCTTAATTAATATTTTTTTTTTGTAACAACTAAATTTATTGTCTTTTGATAACATTTCATAATTGGATTAACAATACCTGAACAAACATTGTAAAAGGTAACTTTTTTTATTTTATTTCTCGTGAAAGAACATCAACAAGTAGATTATTAATCTAACAGTAATGAGAACTCAATGATTAACTAACAATCAATAGATCTTTTATCTTTTTTAAAAATATTTTCATTTAAAATCATATTGTAATGTTATGCAAATTTCATAAACAATAATAATTCATTTTACATCCTACGTCGAAAGGAAAAAACCTATTCCTATGAGTGAAATATTTTCTTTCCTTTCGATCAAAGTGATGTCATTGAATGTAATTTAATTATGACATGCAATTTCTCAATACTATTGTCGAAATCGATCCTGTTATTTATTATACATGCCGAATAAATAAATATTTTACATTATAAAGGATTAAATATCGATGGGTTCTTGTCTCTTTTTTTTCAAATGATACATTTTTAAAGCGATTCTTTCACTTGTTTAGATATCCCTCATAGATTGTATATGTTAGCCGTCTAATGTCAGATCCACCTAGGCTAGTCTAAAGTCAAATAATATATCAAATCATAAACAAATAACACAAAAGAAAGATCAACGAAGGGTGTCGATGTGGATGTACTTGTTCTTGCCGCCCCACTATCACACCTACAATCGATATATAAATTAATTTTTTTAAAGTTTGTTTTAACGTAAACGATGATTCAATTTCATCCATAGTTCGTCCTCTACAGAGTTATAGCAATTTTACTTGAGTTTTAGCCTATGGCATGGTAGGTACAAATCAGAGATGCTCACAGGGCAGGGCAGGGTTGCCCTGCCCTGTACCCTGTCCTGCCCTGAAGCAGGGCAGGGTAAAAAAAATTTTTTTCACCCTGTCCTGAAACAGGACAGGGTGCGGTAGCGCAGGGTGCAGGACAGGGCAGGGTGAGATGTTCATACCCTGCAAATTTGAACATCAAGTATCTAAGTTTTCATTTTCAGAAAGAACATTTTTTGGCTCTTTCTCAACCAAAAACCGAAAATAGATTACAGAGGGTGGTACCAGCTGGTAACTAGAGTTGCTGCTGGATGATACTAGCCAGACATATGCTATATGATCAGCCTCTGGACGTAGTAATCTATTTCGAAGTATATAAATATGTCTTAATTGCTCTTATATGATTATATAAGAGATTCGATGTTTTTCGTGTTACATTCGATTCGGTTAGATTTTGAACTTCTTGAGACTAAAAGGATTCAAAAATTAAATCGAGTCGAATTTGTTTCTCAGATTGGAATATACAGACAAAAATGTGAAAATCGAATGTAACACGAAAAACATCGAATCTCTTATATAGTCACATAAGAACAATTAAGACATATTTATATGCTTTGGAACAAATTACTATGCCCAGAGGCTGATTATATACCACATCTCTCACTAGTATCACCTAGCATGTGTGGTATAAATATGAGATGTAACTGCCGATGTATAAATAAAAAAAATATCGAAAAAATTATTTGTCTTATTACTTTTGGCCCACCCAGTATTTTTTGTTCTTCTTTTTGTTCAATTTCTTTTTGTTCAAATGAAGATCTATAGTGAAGCTTGTGAATCTAACTTGCGTATATTATGTCATTTACTTCTCGTGTCTCTTGATAATACTCATATCTTTTGTCAGTTCAACTGTTAACTATTTATATTGTAAAATGGATTTAAATAAAACAATTGTCTATGATATAATGCACAAACATCTTTGTTGCTGAACTGAATTTAAAAAAACGCAATAAGAGAGCATATCGATTCTACAGGGTACCCTGCCCTGCCCTGCTCGATCCAGTGCAGCAGGGCAGGACAGGGCAGGGTAGGTTTTTTGTTTTGCTTTTTTTCGTCAGCAGGGCAGGGTAGGGGAAGAACAGGGTACAGGGCAGGACAGGGTGTAAAAATTCACCCTGTGAGCATCTCTGGTACAAATCAATTGACTGATGATATTTCGATCTGAAATTTTGTCTATAGATAGGCCTACTTGTAATTAGAATGCTCTGAAAATTTCAACTGAAAAGAATGTTCTCTTCGTGAGATATTGAATGTTGATAAAACATGAGATTTTCGCATCTTTTATGAGATCTGAGTGTTTTATGAAAATTCAATATCTCACGAAGGAAACATTCTTTTCAGCTGAAATTTTCAGGGCATTCTAATTACAAGTAGACCTACCTGTAGACAAAATATCAGATCGAAAATTGCTATAACTCTGTAGAGAAGACCTATGGATCCGAATCCTTTTAGGGTTATTATAGTCTAGAGGTCCTCTCGATATACCCAAAATATAAGTTCAAAAGCAGTGAATCACTTCCCTCGTTAGTCTCTAATTCGAGATTTTCCTAGATGAATACGAAATTGGCTGTATTCACCTTTCGATCTGAGGTTGAACGTTAACACATATAACAAAAAGCATTTCAAATCATTTTATTCATTATATAACCATGTTCTTTTATTAAGTAACCAAAAAGTATTAGAAACAATTCATAAAATGAAATGGTTAATCATCTTGGTAATGTTTGTATATCTAATACGAATTGAATGGACTATTGCTTTGACAACGAATTCAAGTGATTAATAATAATAATAATAATAATAATAATTTATGTTTATCTATCAAATATTTTGTTTATATAATAGCTTTTCGAAATAATTCATCAATCAATTGTTCTCAATATAAAGATGATTATGCAGTTCTTTTATCATTTCCATTTCATGTTGATCTTAATCCATTATTACAAATACCCAGAAGAACAAATGGTTTAATGGATGCCAAGGAACGTATTTATTATTTAAATATTATTAATCAAAAATATGTTCCATTGACAATTTATTGTTTGAAATATTTACAAAAATTATATATACGAAATACGAGTTTTTATAATACTAATCATCAACTTCCAATTGAAATTGATTATCTTGCAACAACACTAACTCATTTAAGTATTTATGATACTAAAATCACTCATTTACCAGAACAAATCGGTAAATTAAAATATTTACAATCATTAGAATTGGTCAATACTAATTTAATAACTCTTCCGAATAGTATTGGTAATCTATCTTCATTAATTGTACTCTATTTACCTAATAATAAATTAATTTCATTACCTAAAACTATCAAAAATATTCAATCATTATCACAAATTGTATTAAAAAATAATCCATATCTTCATTCAATACAATCACTCAATTATTTATCAAAACTTAAAGCTTTACAAACAGATAATTGTCCAATTGAAACTCTTCCACTTTATTTACCACAATTAACTGATTTACATATGTCTAAAAATAATCTTACAAATTTAATTGGTATTCGAACATTAGGTTATAAAACAAATCATAGGAAATTTTTTTATTTTAATAATAATCATATTCAATCAATTCCACCTCAAATTCAATATGTTAAAAATCTTTATTTTCTTAATCTTGATTATAATCATTTAATTAGTTTACCATTAGATATATTCAACGTAACTACACTTCATTATTTATATATTCGATATAATAATTTTAGTGTTATTGAATTAAAAGCAATTATTGAGAAGTTTAATATTACACATCCATATATGAAACTATATTATTTAAATCGAAAGAATTCAATAGTAAAGAACATTATAAATTAAAATTATGCTATCGGAAAATTTTAAATACAATTTTTTTTTACTCTGTGAAAAAAGTATTACGAATTTTTAGAATATCGAAATGTAAAACAAATTCGTTTAAGAAAAAAATATTTAATAATTATTTAAAATTCAAATAAAAAAATTCAACTAATCCTATCTACCACCATAAAAAAGATCTCATCTTTGATATCGGCTGTATGTGCATACGAATAAATAAAAGAAAAAAGAATGTTTGGTAGAATCGACGGTTCTGAAACTATTCTATTTGCATGTGATCTTCTCGATAAAGTAGACTAGTGAGAGAAGTCCTCCAACTCACTTTTGAATCGAGATTACTTGCATTATCAAGGGTTAAATAGGTTATGAATACCCTGAAAAAAGTTCATTTTCCTTAGTTTATTGCTACGGAGATCTTGCACTTTTATGATGTTTTTTATATAAATGCCGTAGTAACAGAAAAATTGATTTTCGAATTTCAACTTGAAATTTTGCATAGAGGCAGATCTTAACGAGAACAGTTTTTTTTGTAAATGTTTCAAGTCTTGTCGCTATTCATATCTTAAGATAAAACTATGATAATAGCATGTCTTATATAAATAAGAAGATTTAATATTCTTATTTTAGAGTAAAAGCAAAGCAAAAGATCGGAAACTTTCACAATAAACTATTCTCATTGAGATTTGTCTCTATACAAAATTTCAAGTCGAAATTCGAAAATCAGTTTTTCTGTTACTACGGCATTTATTTAAAAAAAAAATCGTAAAAGTGTAGTAGCTCTGTCATAATAAACTAAGAACACGAACTCTTCTCAGAGTATTCATAATCAATTTAGTTCTTCATAATGCAAGTAATCTCGACTCAAAGCGATTGAAGAGTAGAAGGACTTTCATCGTAATATGATCATTTTATTCTTGATAAGTCGTCTATCGTATCGATACATAATGCAATTGTATGAAGAGAGTTTTCTTCAACAGATTCACGTAACATTGTCGAAGTTTTTTGTTTTTATCATATTGCATACGAATCAAGGGTTGTATAAAACATTATTTTCCTTTTTCTTTTGCTATCTTAATGGTTTTAGTGTATTTGATTGTAATTGTATTGATACATCTTGTTAATGACACTTAAATCATATGAGTGTTTTTATAATCGATCATGAATGATTGTTGTTATAAAACACTTCAACGATTATTCAAAACTATTGATACTTCATTTCTATGTTGTTGATTATCATTATGAAATTTTCAAAAATGATTAAAAATAATAATTAATTCATATTAAAGACATTCATTACTAACAAGACTAAAATCATTCGTAATTACTCAATGTAAATAGATACTTCATATTTTTGATTAGTTGATCTTTAAAATTTGATGTGATTGTGTAACTGTTTCGTTTTTCTGTTACTACATTTCATTGAAATTTGTTTCTTATATGATGTATTATCATATATCATTTTGGTAATTTGAGATGATGAAATTCTGTTATTCATTAGAAAAGAAATCATTTTATTCGATCAATTTTATTCATCTGAACTAGAAAAGAAAACAATATTCGTTAAAAAAAGAAAAACTCATTCATTTCATTTTATTTATAATAATATATATTTAAAAAAAAAAATGATATCTGGTCCAGTTATAACAATAACAACTCCAAATGAAACATCAACAAAAACTAAACGAATTTTATTTCGTATAGTATTATGTATTGCTATGTTTGGTTCAGTTATTGTAAGTGCAATATTATTTTTACAAGGTGGATTAGTTCTTGGTCATCTTCGATATTTTATTGATATTGGTCAACATCCACTTCATATTACATCAATATTTTTACTTATTTTTGGTCTTCTTTCAATATTAACATTTATTATTTTAACAATTGGTTTAATTAATATTAAAAGAAATTTTGCTATTATTGCACTTGGTTTATTAATTATATGTTCATTAGGTCTTATTGCATTTAGTATTTGGTCATTTATTACAATATCAAATGAACAATTATCAAAATCAATTAATAATGATTTAATTAAAGAATTAGATCAAACACAATATAATATTACTAGTGGAAATAATATTATTGTTAATAATACACCTAAAATGGCACGATTAGAAAAACAACATCAATGTTGTGGTCTTATAGATCCAATTGAAGATTATCAAAGTCGACAATCTTCTATAGTTCGAACAACAATATCAACTAGTGGAAATACTAAAGGACGAACAACATCATTTCAAAAAAATCCATCAACATCTTCATTATCTATTCTATTACCAATAAGTTGTTGTAATGAAAAATATCGTTCGAATGATAATAATTTATGTGTTGATACTTATGGAAATACTGCAAATCCATTAAGTCGTTATAATACAGAAGGATGTTATTTTATTATTAATCGAGAAAAATTTCAACGTATTCAACAACAAGGTTTTATAACTATTGTATCTGCTTGTTTAGCTGTTATTAGTTGTATTTCATTAGCTGCTGTTATTAGACTTTTAACTGAAGGTTATCAAGTTGTACCATTACGTACTACAACATAAAAAAATTTATATTAATTAATGAACAGAACATTCTTTTCTTTTCTTTTCTTTTTTTTATCATAATAATAATAATAGTGAAATAAAAATTAATTTAAAAAAAATTCATCTCAAGACCTATATATTCCATTGCTTTTGATTGTTGAATAGATGAATGTAAACGTTTTTCAGTTACAGGTTGATAGAAATTATCAGAATAATCTGGCATATGAACACTATTAATAAAATAATCGAAATAATTAAATTAATAAACAAACAAAAAAGAAACATCATCATACCGATAGAATGTTATTGAAGGTCGATCAATTGATGACCAACGTTCAATAATACGTTGATCAATATTTTCTATTTGATTAAATGGTACTTTACTAAAATATAATTGTTCAAAAGATTCAATTGAACTAATATCTGATTGATGATCATCATCTGGCTCTATATAATCAATAATAGAAACAAAAAAAAAAGTTTCGATGAATTTTTCCTTTACAATAATATTTAAAAAAAAATCGTTACTTTTTCTTTTACGACAACAAAAGATAATTAATAATATAATTAAAATTAAACCTGTAACACCAAAACCAACTGCAAATTTCAATGAAATACTAGAATCTAATAATATATATTAAGAAGGAAAAACCAATAATCGAAATTGATTTTATCTACCATGAGTAATAGACGACGATTGATCCATCTCTTAACACAATATAATTTCCTCCTATTGATTTCATTTTTCTTTTTCATTCGTATCGTATCAAGCTTTTATCTGTAATCTAATCATAGTATGTGGTTTATTCTTTCATCTTTTTGTTTTTTACTGTTCTTTATCTATTCATATTTTCACCTTTGTCTTATTATAGAACTAAGAAATATTTATTAATCTTTTGTGCTTATGGTCAATTTCATCATCTAATATTTATATATGTCAATATGAAGGAAATAGAATTTTCTTTTTGTCGTCAAAAAAAAAAAAAAATGAATTCGAGTCCGTAATTACAATTGAGCATTTCATATATCTATATATGCATTGCAATCTCTCATGAGAGATAAAGAAACGGAACTTTTAGTCGATGCAAAAAAAAAAAAAAAAAACGACATATTCGCATAAAAATAAGATCAAAACGAATCATTCAACTCGAGAGCTATTATAGTTGTCTTTATTAAAGAAATGTTGATAGACCAAAAGACAAATGATTTGTCTTGAAAGACAAAAAAAAAAGAAAATCATGAAAACAATACGAGCATATGCCCGATGACAATACAAAAACAGAAGTCGAGAAACTGACTGACATCATCATCGTTCATCTACATTCTGTTTTCGTCGTTCTGTCTTGATGATTTTGTAGCAATGTAATACTATTTTTTGCATGTGAATAATTCTTGCGGTGCATGAATGAATGCTAGTGCTTATACTCTAGCGAGAACACTTATAAATTCTCGGAAACTGAGATGAAAAGAAAAAAAAAACGAGCGAGAAAAAAAACTAGAAATAGCTTCTTCCTTTTTTTTTTAGTTGAACGTTTTTTCTTCCTTCTTGTTACATCGTGTGGTGAAAATGATTGATAATATCTTCTTTTTCTTTTTTTTTTTAATGCCTCACAGGCATCAGCACTTATTATATGATAAGCTAAATTAGTGATACTTTTTTTTTTCTTTTTGTAGACAAATAAAATCGAATGTGTGATCGACCTATACAAATAGCCGTTATAGGTGATAAAGCTGTTGGTAAAACATCTATTGTACGTCAATGGTTATATAATGATTATTCTTCATTATATTCAACAACTCGTTTAGCTACATATCATTTTACATCATTATTTAATGGTCAACGTTTATTTCATATACGTATAATTGATACACCACGTTTTGATGATACAAATAATACAGATCCACAACAAGAATGGGTACGAATGTATTGTTTTCGTCGTGCACATTTATTTTTATTAGTATTTGATATAAATCGTGAAGAAACATTTAGTTATATTAAAAATATTTATCGTGAAATAATTCGTATACGATATAATAATAATAATAATTTTTATTCTCAACAACAACAACAACAACAACAACAACATCAACAACAACAACAAACAGAACAATTAACTGATATTATTATTAATGGTGATGATGAACAATTAACAAATCATTTACCTGTTATTGTTGTTGCAAATAAAGTTGATTTTATTTCAACTGATTTACGTTTTGCAAATATAACAATAACAAATTCTCGTGATATACAACAATATGTTAAAAAAAATTTTAAAGCTAATACGATATTATGTTCAGCAAAATATCATTGGCATTTAGTTTTATTATTTAAAGAAGTTTGTCGTATGTTAGAAACAGTTGAAGATACTGTTGCTAAACAAGCTGCACAACAAGCTCGACGTAGACTTCAACAACATGGCAAACATTGTCATGTCATGTAGTTATTTTTCTTTATTAATCATAGAATATAAATTTATATTTGATATATGTCGTATTATTTTTTATGACTCTCTTATATAAAGTAAGATTCAAGATACTCAGACAGCTTTCATAATATTAACATGAAAAAAAAAACAAGATTAATAATCATAGTACAAATTTCATATGTAAATGTTAATGTGACTATATAGTGACAAGCAAAATAGATGAAAATAAGGACAGACTGACGTTGATTTTTGTTGACATGTTCGTTGTTCTTTAAAGAATAAAAAATATAACAAAGGTTCTTTAGTTTATTATGACACGTACACATTACAACGTGCTATATTTGTCTTTATCTAGAGACAATAAAATGCATCTGATGTCTGGTGAATTTGACTCGAAATACTTCATATGAGTCAAAAATAAAAAGAACAGTATATTTGTCACAGATATTAAGAATATGATCAATAATATTATTGGTGAAATCTATTCGAAAAAAAGAACGAAGCTAAAACTATAATCTATATTAAAAAAATGAAGCTTATATACGTCATTAATAATCTACTCAAGAATAGATGAGAAACATGCATGAAAAAAATAATTATTTATATTTGGTTGTACTTGTGTCAAATTATGAAAATAATTGAAAATAACTTATTATTCATATTAATATGAAATATTGAATCATGACATGACGACACTTTTTTCCTTATGTCATTACATATTACGTTTGAAAAAATGTTTATGACATAAACGGAAGTATGGGTGGATTGATTAGAATGGATTTTTTCCCACATGTAAATACTTTCTTTTATTTTATTCATTGGACAAATACCTGCAAGACAGAAAGGGCAGGACAAACAAAAAGTTCGCTGTATATTTTTTTTTTCTACAAGAAAATTGAGGTTATGCGATACAACCTTTTTTTATTTTTGCACTGAGACACAGAAAAGAAATGTGTTTTTTCGACGAGACGAATTGACAAATATATTCTACGTCATTATTTTGTTGTGAAATATTCATGTCGCCTACACAGTTTCCAATCTAAAACGTTGTTCTTCTATATAAAGCTCATTTCTATTTAATATCTTTCATATTCAAGAATAATTTGGACTAACAAGTGTTCCATATAGTTTCAATTTTATACGAAAATAAAAAAAACTACCAATGATTGTCACATTGATTTTAATAACAATTATATTGATACTTTATTTGATTCATATCTATCGATGCTATTCATTTTTTAAATGTCGAGGTATTGATGGACCACGTCCAACATTTTTTTTGGGCAATGTAGCAGATTTTGTTCGTACAAAACGTATATCAATATCAATTCACAACTGGACAAAACAATTTGGTCGTATATATGGTTATTTTGAAGGTCATACACCAGTTTTTGTCATATCAGAGCCAGATATATTAGATAAAATATTTCGAAAATATTTTTCAAAATTTCATTCACGTCGACAATTTCCATTAGAAGAACGTTCAACAACAAAAGGTGTCCATTTATTTAGTGCTACCGGTGATGAATGGCGTCGACAACGTAATATAATAAATCCAACATTTTCACGATATAAAATAAATCGTATGTTACCAATAATAAATGATTGTATTACAAATTTAATGATTAAATTAGATGAATGTATTAAAATAGAATCAGAAGGTTTTGATATTTATAAATTATATAAATGTTTAACAATGGATCTTATATGGAGATGTTGTTTTAGTATTAAAACAGATATGCAAAATAATCCAAATAATCCATATTTAATTCGATCACAACAAGTATTTGCTAGAGAAAATTGTACTTATTTAACAACATTATTAGGAATATTTATACCTGAATTACAACCATGTTGGTTATTTATACATTGTTGGATTAATAAAATAAAAGCTAAATTACGTGAATATTTACCTATGGGTGATAAATTAATTGCTGATGATCCAAGTGAATGGCTTAAAGAAAATGTTAAATATTTTGTTGAAAAAGCACCAGAAAATTGTGATGAAACTGATTTATTACATTTGATGCTTGAAGCAACAGAAAGAAATATAAATAATACTAATCAAGTAAGTTCTTTTTTCTTTTAATACGAAATTAACATTAATTTTAATTGTGTGTTGTTGTTGTTGTTTTTTTGTAGAAAAATTCTAGTAAACGTTTATTAACACTTAATGAAGTAAAACAAAATATTTATTTATTTATGATTGCTGGTTATGAAACAGCTAGTACAGCACTTGCATATGTTACTCATATTTTAGCTACACATCCTAATGAACAAAAAAAATTACAAGATTATATTGATCGTTGTATATCAAATGATACTATTCTTGATTATGATGCTATAAATAAAATAGAATGTCTTGATTGGTTTATTCGAGAAACATTACGTATGTATCCAATAACACCAATTATTATTAATCGACAATGTTCAGAACAAATTGATTTACCTGAATTAGGTTGTATTTTACCGGGTACTAAATTTACACTTGATATGTATAGTTTACATTATGATAATGAATTATGGGGACCAGTTGATACAAAAATATTTTATCCAGAAAGATTTGCAACTGAACGACATCCATTAGCATGGGTTGCCTTTGGTGCTGGACCACGTAATTGTGTAGGAATGAAATTCGCACTAACTGAAATTAAAATTACTATAATACGTCTTTTACAAAAGTATACAATAGTACCATCAACTTCAACAAATGAAGATTTAGAACTTGTCGAACTTGTTACAATTGCACCAAAACAATTAAAAGTTCGACTTGAACCACGAACTCAGATACTATGAATACAATTATATATTGTCATGAATTTCGTACATAGTCAAATTCTCATCGTCAATCATATTGACACTAATTTCAAAAACAAAGAAAGAAAATGATCTGAACAAAAAAATATATTTTCTCATATTAAATATGTTTATTATCAAATAAAAATCATTGAACACTAATATAATTCGAGTTCTCAATAAAGAAAAATCTTGTTTCTTTTGATTTTTCAATTAATTATTTATTAATATTGCAATTGATAAAAACTTATGAATACCATCAAATTGTGTGTCAAACTAATCCTACTTACTCAACAAGATTTTCTTATTTCATATAGAAAAAAAAATTTATATATGAATATATAGATATTATCACGTACATCGTTTAATAATTAACTAAATATAATCTCAAGATAGAACTAAAATGACACGAATATTAAAAAAGAAAACAAAAATATGAATTTTTTTTCCATTCAATTTTTATTTGAAGCTGATTAGTATTATTAATTCCATGTTGAATGTTTTAATAGAAGAAACTAAAGTAAATCAACAGTATGTGGTAAAAAAAATGAGAAGCAATCATATTGAAGAGGAAATTTATCACTGTCAAGGACAATACTTAAGTAGCTGTGAGAGACACTCATGCTGATTTTATATATGCTTGAACAAGTAAATATTCAAATGTATCTTCTTGAATATTCATTGATTCAATTATGTTTACCACTATGATATAAAAAGACAACAAGAATTTTAAATAATTCTTTGTCATCAAGAAAAAAACATTTTTTTAAATGTTCATTTGTTAAAACTGTTAATGCAATATGCAAACAAATTAATTCTTGTATTACATGGTATACTGTTAATTATATTCAATATTATTTTACATGATGAATATATTCTATTAGAAATATCACATATATCTATATCCTACATAAATTAATTGAAATTTTTCAAAAAATATTTTCTTGAAATTCACCCAATATAACAACATAGAAATATTGTACTATTTATATCTACAGTTGACGAGCGAGCTCTAGAAAATAATTTTTTATTGGAATAATATTTTAACCAATAATATTAAATGACGACATGTATACATACATACGTATCCTATAAGGGTTATGTTGATCTTATAAGATCTTGAATAGTCTATTTTTTCTTTTTATCTCTACTTAACATATGATTTTTGATTGTGTAGATATTTATCAAAGAAAGAAAACAAAAGAACGACCAATGAGTAATAGTGAGGGAATTTCCATTTGTCATCATGGTATTAATTATTCAAAAGATATGACATTAGATTATGGAGAAACACTAGGGGGTAATATCTATTCAACAACACCCGACGGTAAGATTTTACTATTATCTAAATTATAGAATATAGAATTTCAATTAATTAGGTACTCGTATTTATTATGATCGAATATTTCTTTTATCTCGTCGTGATTCACCTATGACACGATCACCACCATTGAATTTACCTTATATTCCAGAAGGTTTGTAGATTTATTTTTGTATTAAATTCGATACACAAAAAAAAAAATCTTACTGACACATGTCAAAAAGTTTCTTTTTTACCTGTCTATCATAAGACTTCGAATGAGAAACATTCCAATGCTCTTATAATCTTTATATAGATTTATTTTTAATTGTGTGTGAAATTTCACACTTGTAAGTCTTATGTGTTTTTATATTTATCTTTTTCGTTCTTTTTTTTATCGAAGTGTCATGATTTGATTTATTTTTATGAAATATTCAATTTCAATGTGCGTGTAGTTTCAAATAATGATTTTGTTCTAAAGGAAAGATTTACTTACATACGAGAAAGACCTTGATAGTTTAATATAGATTTGTACATGAATATCAATGGATAAACAGAAATTCTAACAAATGAAATTTGTTTTTCTTATGAAATTGATTTAATTTTTAAATGTATCGAAATCAGAATCATAATCAACAATTTCTATACTGAGATTGCTTTTTATCAAATATAATTTCCTAATTATCAATATCGTTCTTATATTAAGATTTTCCTACGAAAATAAAACGACCTTTCATGTTGACACATCTAAGATAATGTATTTTGATTCTTCTCATTCTCTGTTATGTATCTGTTCTACGTCATTCAAGGATACTATAGATTACAATAGAACAGATGTTATTTTTCACATTTTCTTTAGTTACGTTGATTCCCGAACCATCTAATAATCGTACTATTGTTGAAAATGATACTTCTGAAGCAATGACTAATTTAAATATGAATTTATCTGAACAAAAACAATCCACATCGGATAGAAAAGGTTAAAAGAAAAAAAATAGTATGCTCTTGCTTTAATATACATATAAAAATATATATTTAGATGATGATCAATTTTCAATGGATATATGATTTCTCTTGGTTGTGTTGATTGTTCTATGAATTCATTTAATTCCAAGCAATGCTCTCATTCTCTTTTTCTTTCTCTGGTATCTTTATTTTAATTTTTGAATGTTATTAGAATTATTTTTTGTTGGTCTTAGGTTTATAATTATTATTATTATTGTATATTCGTTGTACTCAGACATATATATATATATCATTTGTATAATAAATTAAATTATTAAAAAAATGTTTTTTTTTTGTGAAAGTCTTTAGGTTAAGGTTAATTTTTTGTTTTCTTTTAGTTTAAAAATGAATTCGAAAAAAGAAGACAATATGGATATTTTAAATAATATTAATAATCAATTTAAAGAATTAATTGAATTAATTGAAAAAGAAAAAGATTCTTCATTTTCAATAAAATATTTTGATAAATTAAAAAAAACAAAAAAGAAAAAAAAATCTTCGAAAAAAAAATGGTTTATTATTAGTTCTTTTATATTAATATTGATATCTATATATTTTATTTTATTAAATGAAGAATTAACTTATAATATCTATTTTGTATTATTGTCATTTATTCGATTAATACTTATTAAAGTAAGAAAGAAAGAAACAAAAAAATATATATTTCTTAATTTATTTTCAAGATTCTTCCATACTGGGATTGGACAAACATTTATACAAGGTTATGTTTCATTGCCAATCCATTTTTTAATAATTCATTGGATTTGTCGGAATGCAATGTAAATAAATGCATGAGAAATTTTTTTCTGATTTATAATTTAAATCAAAGAAAGTATTAATTAAAGATTATCTAAAACTTTTCTCTATAAGAAATACCAGTATTAATTAGATAGTTTTGTTATGAGACATACAATTAAAAGAAATAAGTCCCGACTCTGTTTTGTAAGAAAAAAAATACTTGCTTCTAATGATTGTAAAAAATGTAAAATATTCTTTTCATACTTACCAATTATGTAACTAGCCATTATCAATGTTCATTTGTATAAGTTTAGTTTTATTAATAACAATAAATTTGTATAGGTAGACAAAGAATGTAAAGAGAATAAAAGAGCATGAGGATTTCAAGAACAAAATATGTGTGTGTATAGGATGATAATAACAGGAAAAATCGCTGACATCCAACAAAAGACAAATTTATATATGTGTTAGATATACACGTATAAGAGGACAGGTAAAAACCAACAAACGATATTTTATAATTGGTGAGGAAAAAGAGAATATGTGATATATTTCCACAAGTGTTATAACTGATAACGGTAAATGACTTCTTATCAGATGGTCTGGATTTAAAAAAAAAAATTTTCCATGCTTTGTTTTTTTGTCGCAAATCAAAAGCTTTTTACTAATCTCGAAGATTATAATATCGGTGAAGAAATATGCATTGAACTATTCTATTAAGTCAAAATTCGTCATAATATCCTGATTGTTTTTTTTTCAAATGACTTTGATATGAAGTTATGTTATTAAAACAAAATTGAATAATTGTTTAACATTGTAGTTTTTCATAGATTTTATAGTATATATTTCTCACAGGCATAAGAGATAATAAAGTGATTATAGCGTGGCAAGTACATTAAGTATATCGTTAATAAATAATGTCAATGTCTGAAGGCTAGTTACTCCAAGCACAAAATTAATATAGACTTTATAGTCCTATGAAGTTTTTTGTTCACTAATAGATGCCAAGAAATAGTGTTTTTTTACCATTACTGTAGTGATTAGGAGGAATATATGACTCATACAGGTATCCTGATCGGTGTTAATGAGAAAAAACCTCTACCGATTCCAATTCCGATTCATACATATTGGACATATCCTTAACAATTTGCATGTATATTTATTTAGTGAAAACATTTTTGTTGCTGATGATATCAATCAAATCATTGTATTGTAGTTGAAAGCCTTTCGTTTTTATTGAGTTTTACAAAACAAAAATTGATAAGAAAGAATGATATTTCGTGCATAATCGTCAAGAGATAAAAGATCAATAATTTACTTTTCTTTCCAGTGTTGTATTAAATCATTTTTATTTTACTTAGAAATGTGCTAATACAACGCAAATAATTAAACAATCGAATATAACTTTTTTTAATTTTACAAAAAATATTTATCTTAATAATTTACCTGTTATTGTTGATGATGCAACAGAAACTTGGCCAGCAATGAAAGAATTAACAGTAAAAAAATTATTTCAAGTTTGTATTTTCTTTGTTTTTATTGAGAATTATTCAAGTCAGCATCTTTTGTTTGTTTTTTTGTTTTGAATTTATTTAGCTTTTTATGGAAGATCCTATTCTTGCTGAAAATGATATCTGTTATTTTGAATCAAATATTCGTAATTATAATCGACCGGGAGGTGTTGATCAACTTTTTAATGATTATATTGATGGTAATCGTCGTTCATTTATGGTTCAATGGTAAATAAAAATAATTTCTTTTACAAATTTTATGTATTGAATTAAATCTAGGAATAATTGTAAACGAGAAACATTAAAAGTTATTCGATCATATTATAATAAACCTTATTTTTTACCACCATCTGTTGCTCAAACATTAATGGGAAATTGGTTTTTAGTATCAGCTGGTTTTCATAAAGGGTTCAATTATTTACATAAAGTAAATAAAATCTACAGATAATTTATATTTTGATGAATCTGTTTTTTCAATAATTAGGTTCCTCTGAATTATGATTGGATATGGTTAGCACAAATTCAAGGTTCAAGTTTAATTGAACTTCGACCAAAACATCCATGTGAAAAGATGTGTTCGATATTAAAATCTGTTACATTGAATAAAGGAGATTTAAGTAATAATTGCTTTTTGTTTGTTTTTTCAAAGGATCTTGTTGGATAAGATATTCATTCTTTAAGTTTTAATGTTCTAAACAGCTATATATCAGTTAAAGGATATTATAGCAAGTATGGATAATATGATCGAATATTTTGATTCAGTATATATCCAAATCAATTTATATAAAATTTTATTTAATATTGATTTTGGCTGATCTTCAATCATGTGTATCTAATGATATTAATAATAGCTTTACTAGTATCAAAAATCTTAGCATTTTTACTATTTTTGGCTTTTATGATGTTTTAAATTCTTTGATATTGCTCTTCAGTGCAAAGGTGACTGACCGTGAAACTTTGTGCTCCCATACTTTCTATGTATCCCAATTGATTGTCATTTGAATTGAAATACGTCATAGTCAAATCAACTAATCAATGCCTAGAAGAGATCAATTATTTGATAGATAAGGACAGAAAAGCATATGAGTTTTGCGATAAATACATTTTGAGTATACAAATTTCTATCTTTAAACAATAAGTTTATGATGCTCTATTATTTGATAAATATGAATTTTTCGCTTTCGGATTCCTGGAGAAGCGTACGGAGATATGGAAAACTTTTAATTGAATATATATTGAATCTAATAGAGTTCCATATTCTAATCACATCCGGCTATCTAAAAAGTTAAATCCGTGAGAATCCAAGTAAAATAAAAAATAATCTCTGTATTCCTTACAGGGACCCGAAAGCGAAAATTTTTTTTGCCATTTTCAAAATATTCATATTTGTCAAATAATAGGACGTAATAAACTTATTATTTATAGATAAAAATTTGTTCATTCAAAAAGTTTTTATCGCAATACAGGTATTACTACTCTTAGATTTCGAATAATTTGTCTTTTTATAGGTATTGATTGGTCGATATGACTATAACGGTACAAAGTTTCACGGTTAGTCGTCTTTGCGCTCAGAAGCAGTATCGAAGAATTTAAAACATCATAAAAGCCAAAAGTTATAGGAGTTAGTAAAAATGCTGAGGGTTTGAGTATTCATTAACAGATATATATGTTTTGTCAGAACATTAAAACTTTATGAAAAAGTAATTTCCTATCTATCGTTCTTATTTAAATTATTTGAGTTTTCTTTTTTATTTTCTAGTTATGTATTCACATTTGTATGATGCTTTTTATGGTCCATTGAAAAGAGAAACAATTTTATTAGCTCAAGGTGTTGATTAACATCTGATAAATTGATTAATTAATGTTATTAATTTATCGGCTTGTTCTTCTTGTAGTAAATGACCACATTGTGAAATAATGACATATTCAGTTATACTTTCGGATGAACGATTTTGTTTTAAAATATTATAAAATTCTTGAATATTTTCTTTTGGTACTATTTTATCTTGTTCACCAATAATAATTAAAATTTTTAGTTTTTTATCAAGTTTATTCCATAATGTATTTGATGATGATGCATCATAATTTTGTATAAAAAGAACAAAACTTTTTATAAAAAGTGGATCATCACGTATAGGTTTAAGATAACCTTCACGAGTTATATTATCGTTTGCAATATCTTCATTATAATAAGCATTTTTAAATGGAAGAAAATGTGTTAGACCAAATTTGATTAGATATTGAATTGGTTGAATACCAAGAAATAAACGACTTATAGGTCCTGCTGAATATTGAAAAGTAACAAGACCATAGGGAGCAATAAAAATAATTGATTGAATAAGATCTGGTCGAGCTATAGCTATATCAAAAGCAATAACAGCTCCCGATGAACTTGAAACAAGATGAATATTATTTAATATATTCAATTGATTGAGTAATTCAAGTGCAATTAATTCTTCATTTTTTCGAGTATAAAGTTCACCATTGAGAATTCGTTCCGTTAGACCAAATCCTAAACGATCATATGCTAAAACTTGATAACCAGTTAAATCAGCTAATGGTTGTAGACATTTATTCCAAGTAAATGTACTACAAAGAAAACCATGTATAAAAACAATAGTACCATTATTTTCAGAACATGTTCTATTATTAGGAATGGCAAGATTATAATGGATATGAATACCACGTACAGTAATAAAATATGATGTTGGAGATGAAGTCATGTGTTGTGTCGATAATGTTACATAAAAATGATTCATCAGTCAAGGTGAAAACAATGCATTATTTTTTGTTTTTTATTCTGTTATATGATCA